ACCACGGCAAAGCCACCAACCACAATTTTACAGCAGTGTTTCTTAAACTTTTTAAGAACAAGGAACTTAAATTAAGTTCAGTGGGGGAAAAGAGTTGGGGGAAAGTTATTGGGAAAAAAATAGGTTGCTTGCCCCTTTAAGGGCGGCCATTTTGAATTCTGTTCTCCGCGGCTCACCGGTGTGCCGCAGAACACAGTTTAAGAAACACTGATGTCACAGCCGAGATCTTGTGCATTAAACAGCCTTGTGTCTCACTTGGATCTGAAGAGATTTCCTTGAGATCTAAGAGCTCCTCTCCTAAACTGCTGTGCAGAATGCCGGCGTGCCACTCCAGGAATGGCCACCAGATAGCCCACGCCAGGCAGCCAAAGGGTGGCAGCGCCACGCAGACTGCTCAGCGGTGCTCACGATAGCCCTAACTCCCAGCAGAGCTAGCTTATAGCCGTCCAACTCTGCTCCCTCCCCGGGGGAATACTCCCCTGGCTTGACACAGCCGGGGGGAAGCAGGGCTGCAAAGGGAAGGAGCCAGACTGGGAAAGGAAAATCCCTGCCTGTGTTTTGGATAGACAGAGAGAGGCAGGCTGCAAAGTCATGGAGTTCTGTATGAAATAGGAAGCTCCTGAATATTTATTGCACTGCCGTGTTTTCCTTAAGAGCAGAGCATTCATCTCATGCACCGATCCCCGCCGCACAAGGAGAAAATCCCCCTCACCCGTCCTTCACTTGGAACCACTGCTCATCAGACAGCCCATCCACAGAGCAGACAGTCCCTTCTCCGGTCATTGTCTTTCCATTCCAGCCGCCCTCCCAGGTCACTGCTCCATCGGTCACTCCAAATCCCTTCTTGCGTATGCCAATTAGCACCAGCGGCTGCGTTCAACCAGGCGATGCCTCCTCTGAGCAGCTCAGTGGAACTCAGGGAATGATCAATGTGTTCTCCTTCCCCAGCCAGTCCTGGAGCACACGCGCTGAGCCCTGCCCTGAGCAGCCGCACTGCCTCCCCGGGACAGCTCCTTCGCAAAAGGGTGGATCCTGGGAAAACCTGGACAGGCGGCCAGGCTACCCCCAGCTGGGTCCCTGCTGCTCTACCTACCCCTCTTCCAAAAGTTTAAGGTCCCACCAGCAAGGGGTTAAGTGAGCCACATGGAGGGCGGGCCGCTCTGCTCCACTCTCCAGCAGGGAAGGATTCAGGCGGACTCCACTGTTACACAGCCCGGAGCAGGAGAAGCTGGGAACAGCTGGAACAGGAAGAGCCGCGGGTTTGAAGCCAGTAGCCTGCTCAGTGCAGCGCCCCAGTGCATTTCTGAGGCCTCGCTGGGAATCCCACGGAAGGACAGACTGGTGAGCCAGAGCCAGCACACCTGGCGGTCTCTGGCTCACAGCAGGGAGGGAGGAGAGGGACGCAGCCTCGTGCTTTGGCCAGAGACACCAAGACTCCCGGACAGGGGGGTAAGGGCTCGGAGAAAGAGGACGAGAGCTTGGCAGTGAGCGACGGGCCACCTGCTCACGACCCCTGAACGCACCCCCCCCCCCCCCAGGCCACGCTGCCCCGCCAGC